TTAGTACGTAATAATACAGATGCAATAATACGATTATTATAATATATTGCGATATTAATATATATTGTCATTTATTCTTTATAATTTCATAAATTTTTGTTTTTATAGATGTTATTCTGTAAATTTGTATATTGATTGGAACAGCCTCTTGAATTTTTGTTTAATTCCCTATTATTTTCAGTTATGTCAGAAAAAGAGAGAGAGAGAGAGAGAGAGAGAGAGAGAGAGTGGGGCAGAGACCAATTTGAAATTGTCAATCTATCCAATTTTAAAAACGCATCACCTAGCAGCTTTCTCGTCAGTCATCCCTCTATCGTTTCTCATTCCGTGGGATCACGGGACTCACAAGAACGAGCTTTTAACGCGCGTCGTCAATCTATGAGGCGCGACAAATTCGGTTTTCTATCGCAGCGTTGGTCAATGTACTGGCTCAAATGCAGATGGAAAGCCGGCCAGTGGACAATTTTTTTTTGCACGCGCGTGAGAAGTTTCGTGACCATTTCCGCCGACGATCAGATATAGGGAGCAGGGTAATGACGGGAGGTCCAATCTGCATTCGTAATGACGAACGGGGGGAGGGTGACACAGTGTCTGACCTCGGTTTGCAAGGACATTGGCCATCTATTAACCCTCGGGGCCATACGTCCCTTCTCAGTCACGGGAACTATCCCTAGCTACTACCATCCCTTAAACGGTCGTTAACTAAAGCCATTCTCTATTACCCTTCCATTCGATACAAAATACGAGTATCCAGCTACAGGAATGCAAATTTTATAAAAACAGACAGTATTTCCCCAAAACGATTATCCCTGTAATTATAATTAAAAATGTATATATCTATGTATACTCTCATCACATTAACGAAATATTTTATACGCCATTGTCTTATTTAATATTTATGCAGGAATATGCATGTATATAGCGATACAATCGATAATTTTCACAAGGGAATTTAATGTCAAGTGGCGTTTAATATTTGCGAACCATTTCCAACGTTTCGTGCAGCAGAGCAAAGGTAAAATTTTTATCGTTGATTTCACGAAAAGAGCCGTCCATTGCCATCGCGAGAGTTCACCGCTAATCTCCGGCATTAACTAGTGTCCAATTGGAAACTGCTATAATCCAGTCCGCATCGCCGAATTTAATTCCCTTAACGAGGTCTTGCCAGTTGAGCGTTTCGCGTGCTTTGGCTGGAAAAGCCATATCTATTAATTATTATTCTTGCGGTTAAACTGAGTTTCCGCTGACGGGCCGTTTATAGCAAGCTTTCTCTATTTCTTTTATCACCTCTGTTGTATTACATTTCGAAAAGAAAACTCAGTTAGTTACGTGTGAGTTGTGTTAACATATTTTTGGTAGTCGAAATCAGTAACATTAACTTTTTGCTGCGTACACTCTCAGAAAAGAATTCTAGATACAATACTATTAGGATCGAAATAGGGCCAATCATATTTAGTATTGAAAGAAGAATATTTTAATCTTAAATAAAGGAATTCTTAAATTAGACTTCTAGAAAAAAGAATATTTTAATCTTAAATAGAGATATTCTTAAATCTAGAATAAAATAATCTTGATGCTATCCCTCTAATTTTCTCAGAATTATTCTAGATTCAAGAATTCCTCTATTTAAGATTAAAATATTCTTCTTTTAATACTAAATATGATTGGCCTTATTTTTCGATCCTAATAGTATTGTATCTAGAATTCTTTTCTGAGAGTGTATATTTTGACCAGTATTGCTTTAAACACGTTTACGCGTATACGGTATTATAGTTAAAATGATATATTTTTCTTTTGTTAAATGTACATCACGCTAATACTCATTTCACTAATTACGCTATAACAAACGTAAATGGAGTATACTAGAAAAGATATGGCAAAACCAATGTGGCAAAATCAATAGGGAAACAATTAATTAGAGATTGTTGATTACTTGCTTGTAATTTTACCGACTATTAGCTTATTTATAATTAAGGCTAATTGGAAAGCTTGTCGTTTTTCTGAATGTTACAATAATTGAATCAATGGTCTCGCGAATTAATAAATAAAAATACGTTATGTGACTCCGTTTTGCATGTGCAAACAACATATGCATTAAATGTAACTACATTCTCGTATTTCTCTTTTTGAAATATTTTACAAGAAGTAACAATTTACTTTGTTAATGGATATGGATATGTGATATGTATTATATCAATAGACGAATAGACTATACTAATTTAATTTAGAGTTGGAATTTTTCCAGATATTTTATTGAATTTATTTGAATATTTTGAAACTTCTATTATTGTTATAACTAAACCATTTAACTACACACACATATATATGAATATATATATTCATATTTTTGTATAATATTAAATAAGACAATGGCATATTAAATATTTCATTATTATGTAAGACAATATACATTTGTTGAAGCACGTACATGCGATTACATCAAATTGTAGTTATAAACAGCTTGCAAAATTAATGTATGCTTGTTAATTTTGTTTATTCTTAGTTTTGTTGATTTCACACTGTATTAACTGCAGCACAACTAAAAAGGGTATCTTTTATGAGCGCTCTTTCGCCGTACTTTTTACAACAAATCTTGACTTCTCGTATATAGACTGCTATAGCGTCAGATTTCTTCAGTAAGTGCTCTCAGGAAAAACGATGTTCAAGATGAAACGATAATAATCGAACGCGTTTCGCGAGAGGACCATTGGCTTTGAACGTAAAGATGTTATTCAATTGCGGAGAAGGATCCGCTCTATCAACCTATCTATCAACAATTAAATGGAACATTTTTCACGCGGACGTTTTCTCGCTTCGCCGAAGCTGGATCAGCTGGGATACCACTTGTCTGGCGCCAGCGTCACTCGGGGTAAATATTTGATGAGTAACTTTAGTATCACGGTTATACCGGTCCTGATGAGCGAAGCGCATCGCCGCCGGCCTCGGCCTCGTTCCGTCTCAAACGCACGTTCATGTGTTACTTTGTGAAATTAAAAGGCTTCAGATGGCCAATGTAATTTCCGAGGAAAAAGAAATAATAGAGATAGGAGCTCTATGTTGTGCTGCAAATTAATTCAACGTATTTTGCTGATGATTTGATCAAATTTTTTCACTAAAAAAGTAGAAAAAATTTTTATTTTGTTTTATTTTCTCTATTTGAAATAAAATTATTTATTTTATTTTTTCATTTATAATTCAACATATGTTGTTGAAATCAGCGAGAAATATAACCTGTCAAAGAAATTGCTTTAGTGCAATTTCTTATATAATTTATAAAAAGAATCTGAACATCGGGTTTTTACAAAACATTTTATAGAAAACAGCAGATTGTACATTCTTAAGTAAATCTCTATTTTAATTAGCGTGGAGCTTTCCACCGTCATGGTCAGTAGGTATTATCTGCTGTAGCAGGATTCTAGCGAACTTCAAAGTGCTGAGCAAAATTGTTGTAGGCTGAATGTGGGAAAAAGAACGGCATGCTCTCGTGGGCGGTGGATAGGTGTCTGAGCATTAAACATTCAAAGTGTGTTTCAATTTGTTCCGTGAAAGCGCGGGGGGACTTTGAAGCGTACAGGGGTTGCGTACTTTACTAGAATATGTTGCAACGTACTGATTGGAGGGATCAAAGCCTGTACAAACGGTCGGTATTTAATCATCCGACCACGGAAGAACGTATTCATCAACGGTTGAAGCTTCCGCCAATGCTTATTTGCTTCGTTTTACCCATACGTTCCCCGCAAATCCTCAACCGTATGTGGCTGTTAGTTCTAAATAAACTTAAATATTTATTCTGTTTTTCTTTTGCTGTTTTCTCGCTGTCAATCGCACCGGGCACACATCATCCCGCGGGATTAACTAAAAATTCATGGTAAAGGGTCGGATGATACCGTTCCGTTCGCTTTCGGCGTAAGCTTCTTTATTCTCGCTTTTGGTTGCTCGTGCTCCGCTATCACGATCAACTGGAAGGGTATCGACAATGAATTTTACGCACGAGGAAATCGCTCGTCCAAGCCGGCAGATTCGGTACTTGTGCACGGATGGAAATGAATTCGATTGGAGCGAGCCATCTTTTTTTTTGCTCTCACCTTTCGTCCCTCTACTCGCGGCATTCTTTTTTTTTTTACGAGGCGTAAAATACCGTCCACCGATCGCTGGTTGGCGCTAGTCGTAAATTGGTTACCGACCAATTGCCTGCTTGGTAGCATGCTTGGAGAATCGGAGCTTTTCGATGCTGCATGTGGATTCTAGCGGACACGTAAACGTTATCTCATTGTCGCTCCGCTTTATCGATCCGCCGGCAGTCTCCTTTTATTGCTGTGTGAAAAGTAAAAGCCCGTATCTTAAACGGATCGCGCAATATTGTAACGGAATGGCGACGAAATGGATTTAGAAAGAGTTCAAGATTTGAAGAGTTGAGTCATTTTCAGATATTCTATCACGGGTATTCTATTATATGTAAATAAAAGTTAACTGTTATAAACTACGCATACTCTGGTCATTTTGTAACACGCAGTTTGAAATATTTTTATAGTTACGGTTATAGAATTTTTTGTTTGCAAGCAATTTTCAAACAATTTCTGCCCCTTTTGGACGTTTCGCAGAAAAAAAGAATAGTTTAATAAAGCGAGGCGAAAATTAAATAAACTCATATGGAGCTTAATAATTTTTTATGAAGGACTTAATAGCATCCATCACTCTGTTATGAGTTATTTCTCGTTCGAAATTTTTCTTTTTTTTTCCAGATCTGCGCATATAGCGGATCCGCGCGCCATGCGAGAAAAAAAGCGAGAGCTTTGCACTCTTGATCAGGCATTATATTTCCACCGATTAATTATCTTGCAGCGATATGTCAAACCCCCCCGTTCATTGCTCTTCGTGCACCCTCGGCGTCAGTCGCTCACGATCGGTCAAGTTTGCTCCAGTCCGCAAGCGCCGAAAGGGCGGTGGGGCTTGCGAGCTTTCAAGCGCAGAGCTTCCGCTCACTCGTCCTTTTGCGTCGATCGCGAGCACTTCGCGGGTTCGCGAGTTCGCGGCAATGCGAGTATCTCTGACGAACGCGTGTGTATATCGTCGCGCGTGATGGCCGTGCAGCAATCGATTGATGCGCCTTTCCCGCGCGAATGACGAGTGAACGGTCGGGATCGATCGGGATCGCGAGATTGCCAGCGAACTTTTTGGAGCTCATCGATCGCCGCTGCGTTCTCTCGTAGCTACATCTTATTAGGATTCGTGGAACTGAGTGCCGAAGCGTTTTTGGGATTCGGGTTGGTTGGATTATTTTGACTACAGTGTCTTTTATAGCGAGATATGAGATAGTGAAAAACTCAAAAGTGCTTTGACCAATTGAGATTTCGTGCAAACGTAAAAGAGAAAGCTCAGATTTATCATATTTTATTATTCCAACCGTTTACAGGCTTAATATTTGAAATTCAACAAGGTCGAAGCTATTTGATTCTGCGGGGTTGATTTCTTGTTGTTAATTAATCATCCGGGATTAGAGGTCGTTGCTTCTAGAGCACGGCGAATACTGTGTGCAGTATATATGAAATTAACGAAGAATTAATCTTTTATAAGGATATTTGTCGTATTTTCAATTGTCGATTTAGAATTTATTTAAAATATATATATCTTTAATAAAATACTGAATTAATAGTTTATCCAGCGCATTAATTTCAGTTTAATTAGTCATATTAAACCGCATTTCGGAAATATTTTTAGTCGTTTCAATTATCAGAATATTAAATTTTAATATTTTATAAATTAATTAATCGATTTTTGGTAAGTTATTCAAAAGTATATTTTAATTAGTATTACATGGCAAGTAATTAATGAAAGTGGTAACTATATTTAAATTACTATAATAATCATAATTGAAATAAAATAATAGATTTCGTGTTAACGTGACTGTACTATTGAAAATACAGAACATATATGAAAAAGATCTATATTCTGAATAGGGCAAATTATAAAATAAAGTATTTATAACGCTTGCTATGTTCATCAGAAACTTTGAATTTTTTGACAAATTATTTAAACAGTTTTGTTAAGTTAAATTAAGAGAAAATTAATTTAACGAAACATTTTAATGAAAATGTTTTTCTCCCGACCATTTAATATTTAAAATTCTTTTAAAATATTTAATTTAAAGTAAAATATTCTTTGCTTTGCATGTATTTGTAATTTTTTTTTCTATTTTCTAATTGCGGAAATCCGAAGAAAATATTCTGAAAAATTCTGTTGTCTAATCTGGAAATAATATTTTTGACGCAGTTCATTATTACGAAAATTGAAATTTAATCCGTAGGTTAATGAGATATTTTACTAAAAAGGTCTTGCATTATTATCGCTGTACTATAGGACAAGGTAGTGGCATAAAATAATACAAGTGGACTGTTATTTGTTGCTATAATTTTTAAAGATCTGTTTGCGATAAATTATAAATATCACGATTATTTTCATACTTTTAACACTACAAATATATAATACGGGAAGAACTTCATCGCGGCGCGGCGCGAGATAAAATAACAACGTCCAACGCATCTCCCGTGTTTCATGTTGCGTAAACTGGACGTGTGTATCTACGAGTGACGATAAAATGCATGTTTATTAAACCAAATTCTCCATCATGAAAATGCGAAAAATCATATGGACACGCGTTGAGCATCGGCGAGGCGTTTTGCACGCACGATTTCACCTGTGTGCGACGCGTGCGGGCGAGACTCGTGAGCAGAGCCTACACGGCAATTGAATTTCGCAATGGCTCGATAATTCGCAATTAAACCGTCTACCCGACATTGTTACACAGTGAATGGGCTCGCGTGTAAGGGCGAAAGAGACCGCGACGGATAACCAATAAAAAGAGCTTGTGTTTATAGGTAGTTGGTAGTTGGAAGCTCAACGATTGTAATGGTTGATTATATGGGACGGTAATATTACAGAGGTAATCTGAATCCCTCAACGCGAACGTTACAACATGAACGGTGTCTTTGCGCAATATCGTGTTTCAATTTAAGAATATTTTTGATCAATGATGATCAATAAGATATATTCAGTTTACGTCTTATATCATTGGTATAAATTTATCTCGTTAGAAAAAATGCAAGAAAGCAACGCATATATTTGTAGCGAAGTAGATTCCGTTAGCCGGTATTGATTAATATTTTGCTTGTAGAACTTGGGTTACACGAGAGAGAGAAAGAGAAAGAGAGAGAGAGAGAGAGAGAGTGAGAGAGAGAGAGAGAGAGAGAGAATATTAATTTAGACATATAAACAAGGAGATAAAATCAATAACATAATCAACTCTATATAATGTAATATTATAATAGATATCTCGTGTTAAAATTTATGTATGTACTTGTATACAGGTTTTATAATCCCCATTCTAGGAACATTTAAAACAAATAGAAAAAATATATATACAATACATAAATATTCGAGGTTGATGCGTGGTTCTTATGTGCTATTAATGACAGACATTGAGGATGAATATTATATTATATAAAATATTATGACAGAATTATGGTGTTATGTGGAAATGAACGTGATAAATTTCGTCAACAAGACAGCGTGCTAGTGACATCGTGTTAGTGTAAAGTGCGTTGAGCTAATTTGCATACTGTTTCGTTTCTAGAATTGTTAATTGACGAAAACACGTCACCTTTTCAGACCTCAAGATAGTTTCGAGGCGGTGCTGCTAATAAAACTGCCAAGTGTATTCGTAATTGCTGCAACTCCGTTTGGACTTCGACAGTTGGTGAGTTTGTTTACGGCTAATGTAAAGATTGATTTTGCAATCTTATGATTTATTTATTATTTACAATTACGCACAATTGTTTACAATTAATATATTATAAAATATAACTTTTATAATAACACGGAACGAATTCTTCGAAACTTTATATGTCATATTGTGAAATACTGAATACTTTAGCTCTTACATAAAAATTTTTCTTATATATCAGCAAACGTATATATAAATGTCGTATTATATTTTCGGTATAATCATATTACGAAGAAGTAATTTATGATCTTGTTTATAAAGGAAATGTTTTTTATGCGTAAGAATATCTAATACTAAAGTGATGTTTTTTCAAGCATAAAATGTAGGTATGCAAAGAATTTTTACGGAAAATAATGATAGAAGCATAAGTAGTTATATAAGTAAATTCATATTTTAATCATCTTAACTTGATCTACTTTTCCCGTTGAATAATTTATATTAACTTGGCATATTTGTTGTACGTGAAAGAATATCAAAGAGAATATATAATTTATTAATATTTCTTTATAATAGTATCTTAATGTATTATTTCGTTTATTATAACAAGTCTAAGCTTGCAAGGACGAAATTCAGTTAACATATATGTGACAAAATTCTGGCTTTTATTGTTACGCACAGATATCCATAGCGAGCATGTACCTTCATGCATTGTTATTGAAATAGCAAGTATATATTAAATATAAGAAAGATATAAAGCTATAGGGGTATGATCTCGGAAAAAAACCAAAGTAAATAGAAAAAGTGACGAGCGCAGAATCGAGCTCGACGGTATTCGTCCCCAATCTCTTTTCCATTGATGTACGATGTGGCGAAACGGAATCTGAAAAAAGATCGACGGCTCGTACATCGATGTCAATTTGAAAAAAAATGCGTCCGTTCGGTGTCCAGTGAGGCATATAGGAAAACTTCATTTTTGGCGTATTTTTCGAAGATGTATTAACTCTGCAGCTACATTGTTTATCAGTCATACATCATTGTTTCGAAATCTTTTATAAATTTTTTGCATGGATTTTATATTTCAATATGGTATTGGTCGTTATTCAGCGAGAGAACAATATATAATTAATTAATAGAAGGCACGCAATGCAACAGAAATACAATGGGCTTTAGAATAGCAGCCATATGCGTGTGTTGTCCACCTGTGAAATATGTGATTAATCAAATTTAACCGTCGCGATAGTACCGCCGTTAAAGAATGCGCGAGAATAAGAGCCGTAATACAAGGCGTGATTCAAGAAAAGAAAGAAGTTAACACGGGCTTGGTATGTGCCAAGGCTATTTCGAAAGAGTTACTGGCGACGCTAATATCAGTAATACTAACCCCACAACCGTCGCGATATTTCGACCCTAAAGCTGCTGCAGCCGCATACTGGAAGCTGTCCAACGGATATACCTTACGGCATCCATTCTACCGTTTCCTGAAAATAGGGCGATGTTAAAGAGGCCTAGATTCCAAAGATTTACAATACTGCTTAAACGCGCGAGTGCGCTCCAACAATGCGGGGAAATTTATGAAAACTCGTGAAGGCTGTTGATTGGAAGAAATTATATATTTTTCGAGATTATTTTATTTAGGTACATGAGATCTGTATGAAATTAACATTTATGTGAAATAATTCGCTTTATATTTAAATTACCTTTATGCATTATACAATGCAAGATCGAAATTAATGTAGAGATATCATATTTATTTTTAAAAATATGCGTTTATCGAAATTGGGCGGGGCATGTACCGTGATTCTTGGGATATCGATAACATTTAAATACCAGTTATTGCTCGGCGGTTATACGTGTATATACACACACACATATATAGTATACACACATAATGTGTATATATATATATATATATATATATATATGTATATGCACACACTATTACAAAGTACGTAGTGTAATAGCTGTCCCGCGGCTTTCCGACGAGCAAGAGGACGAAAGCCCCTTGATTTAATTTTACTGGATTCTCTTGCGCCCCGCGTGGACAGGACCACACAAGAGAGGGTACTGAAATTCTCCGGTGACACCGGGCCAATTTCCAGAAGGGTTCGCCGAGTGGACGACAAACATGCGCTTTTGAATTTCCACGCCGTTCCGTACGACGGAGAATGGCGTCGGCAAGCACGACCACGAAGTGCTTTGCTCTTCAGATTTGAACTTTCCGAATATAGCATAGCCTATTTCCGCCGTGTCTGGAATTTAACTCCGATTATCGTACGATTCCAATGCAGCTCTGATATACCAACGCTATATTAGGATAATATAATTTTCGAGTCGCTTATTATTAATAAGAAATATTTCGAATACGCCGTTCTATTTGCACCTTTCTGATATTTATTTGAGAGTAACTGCAAGTGTGTATAATTACTGAAACGAATACTAATTATTATTGAAAAGAACAAAAGATTTAAGATCAAATTCTGTATGAAAAAAATATTGATTGATAGATATATGTTCATTCTTGGTAGAAGATGAATAATTAAGATACATATATCTTTTATATTTGGATTTTGTAGCAATTAAAGGATGTGTTTTTTATGCGAAATATAAGCTTCCGCTTATACAGTAATATTTCCTGCGTAAGTAATTGCTTTACGTAATATAACGAGCCCATCTGTTGAAATTTCGTTTGTAAATTTTAATTCTCTAGGAAATGGAAATGCAATCCGAGATATGTTTGGATTTCAGCTATGCGTAAACAGTATGCATATATATATATATGAAACGGTCGCATAAACTTTGTTTATTACCCGTAGGGAATGCGAGAATCGCAAGATCGAATGTCAATTTAGCTGACAGATATTTCAGAAACAATTATGAAGTCCCATAAATATCAATCTAATGACGTGCGCACGTGTGGCACGCATATTTCTCGCGTTTGGAGAGCTTCGGAAAGTGAATCAGATTTCCGGAGAAGTTCTCGGGTAGAGACGCATATAATGCCGCGTCTCTCACGCACGCAACCATATCCGAGCAAGGATGCCGTGGTAGCACAAGAATACTGGGGTGACGTGGGATAGAGACTTTTAATATAAAATACCAGATGTCCCGACTTTCCGGATCCTAAATCTATGGGTCTCCCAACAGGAGTGAAAATATTGATGCCGCTTTCAAATTTACCACATGGCGCGTTTCCCTCCATCATCGAATCACCACCGCGCGCGTGAATATTTTCAGTCGCCGCGAGTCATGCTTATTTTGCGATTTTCAGATTTTTGCGTCGAAACTGCTGCCTAATGTGTACATTGCATGTGAGAGAAATATTAAGTCGTTCAAAACACGAACAGACCCAATGAACGTTTAGAAAAATAGGATTGGATAAGCAGTATTTGAATCATCGCAGAAAAAAATAGATTTATATGTATGTATGTGTATGTGTGTGAGTAAATTTATTCTTTATTCCAATACAAGCGATAAGTAATATGTACTCTTTTGGAGAGCAATACTTACGTATACATTGTAGTAGCGAAAAAATTTTGTGTTCAAGAGCTTAAGTATTAAAGCGATATTTTATTCAGTTCAATCCAGCTAACCGCCCCGCGGACCCTCTTCGCCAGTTCTGTCGCAAGAATGACTTTTGGAGTAAGCCTTTGTAGGACTTTAGAAGGCCTGCTATCTTTATTCCCCTCCGTCACACACTCTTAGGGACACGTCCGCGCCGCGACAGATCTGAATTACCAATGAGCATTCCGATCACGTTGTCCCGAGCGAGCTGTTCGCGCGGAATAAGGGAGCGTCGTGAAACGAGGAGGTCAAAACAAAGAGGACAAGCAAAAAAAAAAGGCACGGTTAAAAAAGATAATTCGCGTAAGAGCACGAGTTAATTTGATTGGTGAACGCGTATCGTGCAGCTATGTACATCTATCCATTTTTTAAACGGACTTTTTTTCGGACGAGTGACCGAAACACACGTGAGCGTGTGTTTGACCACGTAAAATATTTCGTAAAACTGTTTGTAGAGAATCTCGTGACCAAACTTTCGAGTAATGGTCAATACATGTGAAAAAAATGGCTGATACGTGTGATTCTGTTTGATCGTACGTCGGATGTTATCGGTGAAATGTATGTAGAAAATATAAAAGTTGCACGCAGTTATCCACAATTTTGTGACAAACAAAATAATTTACTATCTATACCGTTTTCACAGGCAGGAACTAACGTGGAATATTCAGAAGATCGTTTGCATTCAAATACTTACTATCAGTGCCGTCTTGATTCGATAAATATTGCACGAAAAACACAAGCATGAAATATGTTTCTAAATATAATTTTTATAAGATGACGCAAACACACATAGACATGCATACGTGAATTATTTACGACGGGATGGATGTTTGCCGAGGAGCGGGAAGAAGAGACGGCTTTTCTTTATCGTGTCCTTATTTTCGCCATCCTTGCGTCAGAATGTGCACCTGCTTACCTATCACGATATTCCTCCGCCTCTCATTCCTCCTTTCGTAGCCGTTCACGGAAGCCTACTTCTCACGGATAAAAATCAATGGCGCATTTTCGCGCATCTCCGCACACGAGGCACGTCGGCATAGAAGGCACTTTTCACACGAAACACTTCGAACTCGTAGAATCCCATAAGGCGCTTAACTTCCCGACTTTCATCGCTATTCCATGGCGAGGCATCACTTTTTCCTTCTAACCTCCCTTCCGTTTATCTGCGAGAGAACTGTCTACTGCCGGAACATTTACCTGAAGATTTTTACAATTCGTCTTCACACGTGTCTAAAGCTTTTTAGTACCTTTCAAGGAATCTGTGGCCGAAACACTTTACGGTATTTCTGACGATGTTAGCTATTGTTTGTCAACAGCTGCTTTTTGATCAGCTATGTATTTGAAACACGAAAAGTAAACTGCGACTGTATTATTTTAAGTTGTTCTACCGTTATTTGTTGCTAGATGAGGGGGGAGGGACACGTGAACTATAATAGAAAAATCTATATATATTTTGGCGAATTTTTTGATCT